GGCGGATAGAAACGGCGCGGATTCCACGCGTTCATCCGTTGACGGAGGTTCCCGTCCCTTCGGAGACACAACTCGGAATCTCACGGGTTCGCGAGCTTCCAAAGCTAGGTCTGTGCAACCGCCGCCCAGGGCTAGCCAGTCGATGCTTTCTCCGGATACGAGCATCCTTACGCCGGACCACAGCCACATCTCAATGGCCATGCCTCGATCGCCCCGGACCGCCGTGAAGGGGGGAGGTACCGGGGGGACAACGCCATCGGGAAAGCGAATGTCAGTCATGCCAGGTGTTCCCCACGCCTCGCATGCTACCGGACTGGGTGCAAGAACGATCAGTCCCACCGACACTAGGAGGATGAAGCGCATGTCAAACATGCATCACGTTAACGGGCAGACCCAAGGCCAATCTCAGATGTCGGCGAACCCGATGCCTCTAGCAACTGAAGTGCGGTCTTCATCACGGTCTCCATCCATGCTGCCGCGCAAGATCTCGACGCCCTCTTCATCTCGGACAACACCAGATCCGAATAGGAAGTCGTATAGCTCGGGTCTGTCGGTCGGCTCGACCAACAGCTTCAACACTGTACGGACATCAACTGGTTCGATTCAGGCGCGCAATTCGCAGGGGGTGAGTTCCAGGTTACCTGCCCCAAAGGCGTTGAACTTGCATAACCCCGCCAATGCGGATGATGAAGAGGACGTTCCGCCGGTTCCAGCGATTCCGAAAGTGTACGAGTCGCCAAAGGACTCTCCTGCTGAATTGTCGTTCTTCGACAAGAGGAAATCCAACCTCGCGTTTGATACCAGCAGCGTCCACAGCAACTCGACTGGGAGCGTGTCGGGCGTGCCAATAAATGAACCGCCACCTGTCAAAATTCGACGTAGGGCAAGCAATCGCAAATCGATTCATACTTCGAGATTAGATGCCGAGAAGAAGTCCTCGGCATCACAGGCCAAGAAGAACCTTCAGCCACTACGGCTGCCTCCGATTACTCTCGGGCCGTTGAGTACCCCTACAGCCGCTAAAATTGCTGCGTTGCAGGAGCAAGGCTTCTCCGACAGAAACCTATCACCACCCCCCACAAGACAGATTGCCAAGACTCCCACGACGCCCATGACGGCGTCAAAGGGGTCATTCTTCACCAGAACTCGGGCGGAAGATAGGTCTGATGTGCAGCATCTGAGGAGTAGCAGCTCTGTGGTCCGAGCCAGGCGGGAGAGCCCAGCCGTAGTTGATGCAACAAGCTCGTCCGAGTCTTTCACGGCTTCTGGACTGAAGACTGGGACTCAAAGATCTGGAATGTCGCCCTTCTTGTCGTCGTCGGTGCCAAAAGGTGGGCATATGGAGTCGGCTTTTATGAAACGCTCTAAGACGGGAGGCGACTACACACTTCCGCTAGACCCCGTTCCCGATGTACCTTCCCACCAACATAAACCCTCTGGCCCGCGGGCGCCGAAGCCAATTACCACCACAAAGCCTGCAGGAACAAAATCTCCCCCGCCGCTTTCCAGCCCAGATGAGCCGCCCACCCCGTCATCCATCAGTTCCCTGCGACGGAAGCTGAGCTTATCCTGGAAGCGGAGCGCCTCTAAAAACAGCATGAGCCAGCTTCACGGAGACAACAATGGACATACTAGCTTCAAGCATGATTCCATGCCGCCGCCAAGGATCCCGGTATCGGCGACCCTGAACAACATCACGACAGGGAAGGCCCCCAGTCCGACCCCTTCGACAAAGTCCACCAGTGGAACCTATCTAGAATCTCGGAGACGCAAGAGCTCTGCCTCGAGTCTGAACGCCATCATTGCGCAGGAACGGAACCGAAGCGACAGCCTCGCCGCGAAGAAGGAAACGACGCTCGATACTGTGTCGGAACGGTCAACACTCTCGTACAACGCGTCTGTTGTGCAGAAAATCCTGAAGCCCAAAAGCTCGACCAGCACTCTAAGGCATCACGACATATGGACCGCTGATCTGGATAAGGACGACCTGGTTGCGGAGGATGAAATGAAGAAGCTTGGTTCACGACGGAAGGAGACGGAGTTGGCGGCTCGGACACTGGATGCACTCCGCAAGCGTGCCTCCGCTAAGGAGCGTGTCAGTCCACAGGACGCTATTCGCATCGCCGTTCTCAACATCTACGAACGGGGCGAGATTGTGGACTATAAGGATATCTACTTCTGCGGTACCCAGAACGCTGCGAAAGTGGTTGGCGATGTTCAGTCCGAGAGTCCCAACTTTGGCTATGACGATGACCGGGGGGATTACACAATCGTGCCCGGCGATCACTTGTCGTATCGATATGAGATCATCGATATTCTCGGAAAGGGAAGCTTCGGGCAAGTGGTTAGGTGTATTGACCACAAGACCGGTGTTTTGGTCGCTGTGAAGATCATCCGCAACAAGAAACGGTTCCATCAGCAAGCTCTTGTCGAAGTCAACATCCTACAAAAGCTTCGCGAATGGGTGAGTGCAGCGCAAGAGTTTGTTGCGTTGGCAACATTTGGCTAACGAGCTCCTAGGACCCGAAAAACAAGTATAGCATGGTCAACTTCACTCACAGCTTCTACTTCCGTGGTCATCTTTGCATTTCCACAGAACTTCTCGACATGAATCTCTACGAGTTCATCAAGTCCAACGCCTTCCGAGGACACTCTTTGAAGCTGATTCGCAGATTTACGAAGCAGCTCCTCAGTTCCCTGAACTTGCTGAAGCAGCACAAAGTCATCCACTGCGATCTGAAGCCGGAGAACATTCTCCTCCGCCATCCGCTACACTCCGAGATCAAAGTAATAGACTTCGGCTCGAGTTGCTTTGAAAACGAAAAAGTCTATACATACATCCAATCCCGGTTTTACCGCTCTCCTGAGGTTATCCTTGGCATGACCTACGGAATGCCGATTGACATGTGGTCTCTCGGATGCATTCTTGCTGAACTTTATACTGGTGTGCCGATTTTTCCCGGCGAGAACGAACAGGAGCAGCTAGCTTGCATTATGGAGGTTTTCGGCCCGCCCGAAAAGCACCTCATCGAAAAGTCGACACGTAAGAAGTTGTTCTTCGACAGCATGGGCAAGCCCCGCCTCACAGTCTCCTCCAAAGGTCGCCGCCGGCGCCCGTCCTCCAAGACCCTTCAGCAAGTCCTGAAGTGCGACGATGAGCCTTTCCTGGATTTCCTCGCAAAGTGTCTGCGCTGGGACCCAGACCGCCGCATGAAACCCGATGAGGCCATTCGGCACGAATTCATCACGGGCCAGAAGACGGCTGCTCCTATTCCTCGGTCCTCGTTGCGCGACTCATCCCCAAGCAAACGGACGACAAGTCTTAGCTCGAACCCGAGGCCGTTACCAGAGCCACCAGCAACCGCCAAAGCGAGCTCGTCCTTGCGGCCACGGGATGCCACGGGGATCAACAGCATCAGTCCATTGAAGCCCAGTGCCGCTGCCGCCGCTGTGTCGCGTCGGACATCAGGAGTTAGCACAACCTCGAGTATAACAGCCAGCGTCGGCGGAATAAAACGCACGAGTACCGGCACAACAGCCAATTACGCAGCAGCCACGGGCTCTATCGGCGCGAGTGGTCTTCCCAGAGCCGCAGCTCGTAGTGTAAGTGCGAAGCAGCAGGACCTCGCGGCGGCAGGCGCTACGGCGGCCATGAACCGGCGAGGTTAGGACCGGACTGCGCCAAGGACGAGGAGGCAACAAAGCTGCAAGATTCGCTAGAGAAGCGCCTTGGCCGAGGTGACTTGCGTGTGGCGAGTTAGTGTTTACTTAATGTGTCTAACGTGGGGAATTTCGGGTCGGCCCGGACCGAGCAAAGGAGAGACCGAACCATGTTCCCAGCCGAATTTGTGAAGGGCCGCGAAACACTTGTTTACGACTGGGATTGAATCACCTTGGATCGGGGCACGCGGATCTCCGCACTGCCCCTGGCTACGAGACAAAGAAAAAGAAGACGAAAAAAAGAAGTGAAGGACAGAGATGAGATGAATTCTTTTATATTTTGCGCGCGCTCTGCCTTCCTTTGGAGGAAGGAATGAACTGGAATGGACTGGGTGGAAATAGAGAAGCCCAATGCAAACGAAATGATGTTGCCGGGTGTGTTTGTTGATGGGATGGGATGATGATACCACATTTTGCATGGCATTGCGTGTGTCTTGTCTTGTTCCTCTTTTTCTTTTTTCTTTTTCTTCTACTTCTGTTGTTGGAGAACACTGCTAGTGTCGGGTGCTGCTGCAATTACTACTACTACATACTTATTATTACAGCTGCGGCTGCTACCTTTCTGATGTGGTTGCTGTGGTTGTCGGGTTGGCTGGGCGGATGATGACGGACTGGCTGCGTGCTTATTACACTACTATACATGGTTCTTTTTACTCGGTGTTTCTTTACTTTGTTAACTCGGTGTTTGGGTTTGTTCCGAGGATACATTTGCCTCGTTCCGCTTTTCTCGATGGGAGCGAGATAAAAGTCTCTAGGGCGTTGCATTTCCGGCATGACATAGAGGTACAAGGAAGAAAAGTTGGGTGGTTTGATGTTTGTCAATGAACTGTCTCCATTGAGTGACTGTGGGGGTAAGTCTTATTTTTCCTCATCCCTTTTCTCTGAGTTGCGAACGGAGGGTGGCCAGTGTCTCTCGAAGGTATTCGCTTTCTCGTATATGCTTATTCATCTCCCTACCTTGAATCGAGAAGTGCACTGTGGTGGTGGTGCACTTGCAACACTCTGCGAGTGTGCCTCGCTTCTTCTGCACGTCCCAAAAAATTGATCGGCGCCTGACTACGTTCTCCGGTTGCCATCCCCCTTTCTCATCTTCCTTCATCCTCCCCCCCTTTCCGGACTTCTCGCCTCCAAGCCAGCCGGGTCTAGCTCAGGTTCCAAAAGCTAAAGTCATCTCATAGCCATTCACCTACCAATCCCCACAGCAGACCGCACACAAAACACCAAAAATGCAACAGTGAAGCCACCAAGTTATCTTGATGAACCTCTTTGCCAATATTGGATGGACGAGCTGGGAATTGAACCCAGGACCTTTCACAGCGTATTTCTGAAAATGCGAAGTGAATGTTCATACCCCTAGACCACACGCGTTTGTATTGCGTCTTTAATATAGTGGAGTCACTAAACCCGAACCACGAATGTTGCCGAGGATGGAGTCAAGGCGGAGTCAAGATGAAGCTCTCCCTCCCTTCTAGCCCCCCCTGGGCTCCCAGCAACCCGACAGACTCACCAGCCTCAAAGCACCCCCAGCAAAAAAGATACACAAAGAAAGAATACATCACCAACCCCGATCCGCCTCGCCTCACTCACCCTGCGCCTTATACCTCATCAGTAACCACGACATCGGACATAACAAACCTCAGCATCCGGGTCCGGTTACAAAGGGCCCACAACCACAACAAGGCACGGCTCACACAGTGAGAATGAAAAAGATGACGGGGTCTGAGTGAGTCCGATGGGCGTACAGACGCGCCATGCCCATCACCACGGCCAAGCTTCCAGCATCACCATCACCATCATCATCCCGCTGCATTAGTTAGGCTTTTTTCTTCGTCTTTTGTTCTACTCGGGACCTCTTTCTCGGGATGGGGGCCGCTTCGAGATTTCCCGCTCGTCCATGCCCCAAGTGGCGCAGACAGATCCGGGTTTCGACTAAGCAAAAGGACCTCGAGGTACTTGTGCCGTACCGGTACAAAGAGGTGACAACCGTGAGAACAAACGCAGTCGGGATGGATGTGTGGGGTTGTATGGGGCGAGAAAAAATAGGCAGATGACGAGCACAGGAAGACAAGAGGGGGCCGCTCTGAAGACGAAACCACGCCGCGGGCTCCATCCCGCCCGGTCCGGCCCGCCGAATTCTCGACAATGGGCAACAATGGATATGACGTACATGCGGACTCTGGGGCGGCGGCGGCGTGGGTCAGATGTTCATATCAGGGGTAAGACGGCACGAATAGACTAGACTCAAGCAGGTTGTGGTGGCTGACCAAAGGGTGAAGGGTTTGCGTTTCGGTGAGGCTAGCTGTGAGGCAAAGATAACATGTGAAACAATATAGACGAGTACGCCTAACCGAGTGCCTATGGTAGCGTCCAGTCCTCCTCGCCTTACCCCCCAGAGCTGAAAGGTGCTGAAAGGCAACCGCGGGTCATAGATTGGCATTGTCCTATCAAGTCCGTTTTTCAAGTAGGAGGCAGCAGTAAACGGAGAGAAGGGCCGAGAGAGACGGTGTCAGGGCGAGTTCAGCTCTCAGCTCCGCTCTATTGTTGGATTAGGCAGAGCCCAAATGCTACGGGGTCCAAATCCCTCCATGATTTACTGATTTTGCGGTTATCCATTGTCGCACGGCAGGAGGAAGCGAGCATACAGCTTCAAGATATGCCGGAAACAGTCGTGTTGGACACCCCGCTGGACTCGCAACGGTGTAACAGGGCGGCATCTAGGCCGCTGCCATGTGTAGGCGGTGGGGGCCAGGCGGTTGGATATGAGAAACTCTGGGGTAGACAAGCGACTAGCAAGGTGGTGAAGATTAGACGACAGGTTTTGTATAGAAACGGCCTGAATGTGGCTTATCCATCACCTGTTCGGTTGTGGGAGGCTGTGGTGGTGGTGAATACAGGACCCGTGGGGGACAATAATGGGGGCCAAGGGGCAGTCTGTCCCGTGTCGATTCACTTGATTAAGGGCAATCTTGGCAATCTCAGCTGGATCGTGTATCCCATTCGTGCCGCTTCTCAGTTTGCCATCCAACTTTGGAGTGGCTGTGGATATGTTGGACATGCTCTGGGTGACATGCTCTGGGTGACAGGCTCTGGGCTACATGGCCCAGGGCTCAGAATACATGAGGCTCAACAGGATCTGTTAATTGCAACGCGGCTGCACTTGGAAGTTGTGTTTGTGCGATGATGCGATGTCGGTTGCCTGGGGTTTGTCATACACGACGGGGAGCGACAAGTTTCGGAGGGGGAAAGAAGTCAGACGAGTCTGAGCAACGTCAAAGCGTGACGTCGTCTCCTCCGTTAAGGTTTGGATTCATAAGGAGATGACCGGTGGAGGGGGAGGAGTCGGGAGACGCGGACACCATGCAACATAAACCTGCCTTGTCATGCTGGGTCCTCATCGGATTTCAAGCCTGGAGCTTGCACAGTCCGCGCGGAACGGGGGGGGGGTCCCGGGCGAACTCGCCAGCCGTGATGTGATGTGATGAATTGATCAAAAATAACAATAACACGCAACTCAACACCGGTCAGCAGGACGACTTCGCCCGGATGCACCGGTTCATTCCGACCCCAGGTCCCCACCTGATGCGAGCAGGTTAGAAAACTTGTTGGTGCAAGAGCATGAAAGAGCAGAATGGGAGTCATCCGAATCTGAGTACGAATAAAGTATACGCGGCGTGGGCATGGGCCGTAGCTGCCCGCGAGAGACGAAGAGGCAGCGCCCGGCGGAGGTGGTGATGGTCGAGGTGGTTGGGATGAATGGTGTAGAGTCGCCCAAAAGACGAGAGAGCATAGGCGACGATGGCATGGCAGGCACCTGAGGCGTGACGAGGGTGAAAGACTTGGGTGACGAGCTTCTGCCTAAAATTCGGTGCAAGGTGCTGCGGAATTGAACGGACCTTAGACCTTGGGCCTTGGACCTTCATCCACAGTGGCCGAGGGTAGTGAGATGAAATCATTTTGGTCCTGTTGCAGCGCTGTTGCAGTGCTGTTGCAGCGGCGTGAGAATCCGGGTGCTCCAGGGCCCGCCCGGCGACTCCGTCTCGCTCTCGATGCGACGTCTCTCGATTCGCCGGGCGCAAAACAGCTGGCGGCAATTGGCCAGATTGACTAAGCGGATGACGGGAGGTGAGTTGCTCGATGGTGAGAAACACACAAGTCAGTCAGCCATGGTGAGGCGGTGCCAGCAGGGATTCCAGTTGCGGCGCCCCAGTTGCTTGCGGGTGGTGGGCGTGTGTGTGTGTGTGTGTGTGTGTGGTGGACGGGTGGTTGCAAACCGATCAACGGGATCAAGACACCACACACACAGAGCGAGTGCCGCTGCAACTGCGAGACATGCAGACAATGGGGTCATACCTGGGATCCCAAGCGATTGGCCCGCGCCCGAGACATTGCGATATTGGCTTCCCGCGATCCCCTGCAACTCGCAGCTCCTTGCAGTAGCAGCGAACGCAGGAGCACCAAGATGGAGTCGTCCAGTCGTCGAGTCACCCAGGGCAGACGGCCAGGCTAGGGCAGATATCCGGTGTCGAAGCAGAAGTTGCGGATACTCAAAATGCAGACAAGAGTGGGCAAGCACGGCAAAGGTCAAGTGGGGTATATGGGAGCCAGGTATTCCCCCAAGGAAGGAGCCACTGCCCGTCTTATTGCACAGGTCACACAGGTCCTGCCTGCAGGCATCTGCGAATATGGACAGCACCCGGAGGGACCTATTTGGGTGTTCTCGGTGAACAATGCAGCGAGTCGTCACCTGTTCGTTCTTTTTCTGTCTTTCCAGGTTCTGCCTTTCCAGGTCCCTAGGCAAGGCAGGTCCTAACCTAATTCTTCAATGAGTCCTCAGTCTTAGTGACGGCCCTTGGTAACGGCCCTACGAGGACCCTTTCGTTATGTTGAGTGTGTAGTGTGTACATAATTTGTAGGACGTTTGGGGGCGCCAAAGTGTCCAATATTGAGCCCCTAGAGCCGACCAACGGGTCCGGGACGTTGAGGCCGCCGCGGCGGCCGGCCAGATATGCGGATTACTGCCGAACGCCTGGGATTTTGGCATTCACGATCATGCTAACACCGTAAAACTCATAGGTGGGATACTCTTGGTGGGCGCTGGACGCTGAATGGACCGCCGTGGACCTCTGCAGGCACGTGCAGTTCTTTTGCAACGTTGACGGGACCACTACATTTGCATGCTGTGTGACCCTCTCTGATGACTCCCCCTTACCTAGTTTGTCAGGTTCTGGTGTAGGACCAGTTAGCCCTACGAACCGCTTTTTTGGGACTCGCGTCTCTCCAAACTGAGGTCTCCGTCTTCCGGCGTTTAAGATCGGGAGACTGTGCAGAACACTTGCCTTCGCGCGGTCGGCCTGGTCCAATCGCAGTTCCGGGGCGTGCTCAACAACGGAAATATCGCCGAACGGCGTCCGCTGCGGCGCCCAAGCGCGGCCGTCCAACTGCGATGTCCGCAAATGGACGTTTTCGAGCCTGGGGCTGAACCGCAGCGTGGATAGGGGTGCATATAGGGGTTGGATATCAAGGATTCAATCAAGAGCCGTCGTCTATCCCTCCGTCCCTCCGTGTACTGACGGTGCCAACCTGTCCAGCCCAGCAGCCGCGGCTACCAAACCTCCAAATCCGGCTGGCCGCTGGACAAGCGTGACAAGGCTAGATAGTGTACACTAGATAGAGCCTAGTGGAGTGAAGAGGGCCGCTCCCAGGCCAAAGGTTGAGGGCAGCCACTGGCATCATGGTCTCACCCTACTGCATTTCTGATTTGGCCAAAATGAACTGGCCACCATTGGGCGGGATGCGAGAATGGCTATGCTTTCTTCTAACGTCAAGGACGTCGCTCTCCAATACTATATGATAATTGCATTCGATGTTGCATTAGATCAAGGCTCAATTCCTATTCTTCATGGGGCCCACGGGTCTCTATCCACAGCACACCCACTGATCGAGGCGATTCGAGCAAGGACTGCATGGATGCCGAGGATGACGAGGGTGCCGAGGATATGGGCTAGATCCCCTCCCAGATCCTCTTTGTTGTTGACACCTCCACGATCGTGTGGTACGTGCGGACCGTTTTTCGATGACTGGGACGGCTTCTTACTGGCCCAAATTGCTTGATTTGGGTTGAAAAAGATGGTGTGCCGTAATGCGCCCAATGAAGGGATCAATGGCCCATCAATCGACCTGGTCGGCCCCTTGCTCCTCCGGCACAGCCTTGCCCCACCTCCCCACCTACGGTCAGCGGGCAGAGGCCGCCGCCGCAAGGGCCCGCGAGGACTTTGGTCCTGGTGGTGGCTGGCCTTGCGCCAATTGGTCCATGACACCTAATCAGCAGGAACGTAGCCTTGTTTACCTGCCAGCCGTTTTCCAGGGCC